TTAAAAGTATCTCCATTAGTGAGTTCCAAGAGATGTTGATATTGCCTTCTAGATGTTGATATTGCCCATCATTCTTAATCCTCCAAGCTCTCCCAGTAGTCTATCTTCTTCCTGATTTACTGAAGTTGTAGCCACTAATGTTCCTGTAAGGGTCAAAAACCATAAAATCATCTTTCCAGATCCATAGAAGGCAACTCAGTGCAAAATCCGGAACATCAGTACAAAAGCTTGAAAAATGATTTTGCCAATGGGTGTAGTTGTTACTGTTTTACAGTTGCATATGCATGTTGAGTTCAGATGAAAGAGATGACGATCTCTTTTTGTTTTATTTGTTTATTATTTTGCAAGAACGTTTTAAGTTCAACTGACTCATTTCTGTTTTTAACTTTTTAAAAATTTAGCTTTAATTTCAGACGAGCACTGTGACCTGATCTGTACTTGCTTTGCTCACTTTGCCTTTAAAAATAACCTTTTAGTCAGCTTCAGCACATTTACAAACTTAGTGGCATCTATGAGATAGCAAATAGACTGCAGCATAATAATCTGCAGAAGTGATATGAAGCAAGCAGGAAAATTCAGTCCGGTAAAGTGCTTTCGTGTTTTAATACCATGGGAGTTGCTATATTTTTTTCCTAAATCACATGGGAAGATGTATAAGAGAGCTGTTTCACTAAGCTTGATGGTCAGTGAAGACCATAAACATATCTAAATTGAAAGCAAAATAAGAAGCAGCTATTATATAATATTCCCATGATTTAAGGTGGTTTTGTATATTGTCAGGGATCAGAAAAGTGGATTGGCCAGCTCTTAGTTACTGATAATTTAGCATATTTCTCTGTCAGACACAGAAATCTCAGTAGTGATATGAAGTATTGTCTTTAGCTGGCATAGGAGAAAAGATATGTGAAGTTATACTAGGTGTTTTGGCTGTTATTTTATTTTATTTTATTTATTTATTTTATTTGATTTGTCAATTGTTTACAAGATAATAAGTACAAGTGTATACATAGTTGTGAATATATGAAATGGGTACATATAAGAAAAATAAAAGAATAAGAGAAACAATAGGACAGGGACGGTAGGCACGTTGGTGCGCTTATGCACGCCCCCTACAGACCTCTTAGGAAAGGGGTGAGGTCAATAGTAGACAGTCTAAGGTTAAAGTTTTTGGGGTTTGGGGAAGAGACTACAGAGTCGGGTAGAGTATTCCAGACATTGACCACTCTATTGCTGAAGTCGTATTTCCTGCAATCAAGTTTGGTGCGGTTTACTTTGAGTTTGTATCTGTTGTGTGCTCTTGTGTTGTTATGGTTAAAGCTGAAGTATTCATTGACAGGTAGGACATTGCAATGTATGATTTTATATACCATGCTTAAGTCGGACCGAAGACGGCGTAATTCAAGGTTTTCTAGTTTTAGAATTTCGAGTCTGGTGGCATAAGGTATTCTACAACGAGTAGAAGAGTGGAGAACTCTTCTTGTGAAATACTTCTGGACTTTCTCAATTGTGCTAATATCACATACGTAATAAGGATTCCAGACTGATGAACTGTATTCGAGTATTGGTCTAGCAAATGTTTTGTATGCTCTGGTTAGTAGTGAGATATTACCAGAGAAAAAGCAACGTAGGATTAGGTTAACAACTCTTAATGCCTTTTTGGCTATGTAGTTGCAGTGGGCTCTAGCACTTAGATCATTAGAGGTGAGTATTCCCAGGTCCTTTACAGAGCTTGGGTCATCGACAAGATCTTGACTATTCAGCTTGTATTTTATTTTCTGATTTTTTTTACCAATATGTAAGACAGAGCATTTATTTGTTGAGATTTGAAGTTGCCATATGTTAGACCATTCAGATACATAGTCTAGGTCTTTTTGTAGGGTAGTAGTATTGTCTGTGGTATTGAACAGCTTTACATCATTAGCGAAGAGAACGCAATTGCTCTTGATATGATCACAAAGGTCGTTTATGTAGATTATGAAGAGAGTTGGTCCTAGAACACTGCCTTGGGGAACACCACTATTGACAGGTACTGGATTTGATAGGGCGTTCCCGATTTTGACCATTTGTTGTCTGTTTGACAGGAATGCTTCTATCCAGTTATTCAGTTGTCCAGAGATACCATAAGATTTTATTTTTAGGAGTAGTTTGTCGTGTACCACTGAATCAAAGGCTTTACAGAAGTCTATGTAGATTGCGTCTATTGCTTTGCCCTGGTCGAGTTGTGTAGTCCATATGTTTTTGCAGTGCAAGAGTTGCAGATTACAGGATAGTTTTTTTCTGAAACCAAATCTGCAGGATGACTCAATCTCCAGGGAGCTGGATGTTCTTGTGAGAAAATATAGTTACCTTCTGGCAAATATTGTGCATTGCAAGATTATATGCAGCATGTATTTAATATAATCATTTGTATTTGAGAATAGAAATACAAATATCTTTATAAGCACAAATAAATACCTTTGAGAATACAAAGATGAAATATATGTACAAGTTGTAAATTAGGTGGCTTACAAATAACAATTTTAAAATTACACACACATATGTATATATGCTTTCCTTGACATATGCATGCACATAAAGGGATCCTTTCCACAGAGCATAGAGTTCCTGTTTTATTTTGGGAGAGGGACAATCCTGCTGGAACAGGTTTTCTAATCATTATCTATTTGCTCCCCACAATACATTTGGTGGAAGATACTCCTGAATGTGTGATAAATAAGAGCAGGGTGCTGATAAACCTGCACATATGCCTTTTGTTGGCTTCAATCCTACAGAGAAAGAGATTAGCATGGAGTGTTTACATATGCAGTTGTTCCCCCAAATCTGCATCAAATCTGGACCTGAATTTTTGCTTGTCCTTTCATACTACATTCATTTGAAAGATAACTAGTTGTTTCTACAGAACTAATGAACTCAATATGTTAAAACTGACACATATTGAAAAGAAGGAAAATACTAAAAATGAAGAATAAAGCGAAAACAGAACTGAAATAATAAACAGATATGTACTAAAAGGAAAAAATAATTCAAATGATAATTGGATAGCAAAATGTTGTGTCATCATATAGCATAAAGGGACAGTATAGTATATAGGACTCAACAACTTTATTGAAGGCTGTTCTGTCTTAATATATGGCAAGTTGTAGTGGCTGCTGAGTGACCCCAGGAAAAGTAACAGCTGTTTTAAACTATATGAGGACTTCCCACTTCCTCCAGAGCAGGAGTCCCCACCCTTTTGGACCTCAGGGACCACCAAACTCACAATTTTAGATCCCAGGGACCACTAACCGGTTCTGTGGGCGTGGCCTAATTTGTGGGTATGGCTTGGTTGGGCATGGCTTGTATGTAAATATTATAAATATTTATATAAATATTGAATTTTTTATAAAAAAGAGCAATTTTTACCCAAAATCAGGCAAAGCAGGCAGGCAGATTGAGTTGCTCACAGAATCACAGATTCATTCAGATATCTATCTATCTGCCATCGGCTAGCTCAGTCTGTCACATAAAATTTGCTTGCCGTGAATCTGCACTGAATAATAGAACCTTCAGTCCTAAGGGAAGTTCGGCTGTGCTTAAAAGCAGAGCCGAAGATCTAAAGACTAGCTAAAAAGCAAGAAATCCAACCATTTCCTGCTTCCTAGCTAATCTAAATCTCCCAGCAGAGCAGAACAGCTGATGGTCGGAAAATTTAGCAAGCAAGTTTGCCGGGTAAGGAGTGAGTGGGGGGAGGGTTCCCGCTGGCCATGTGGGCAGCGCAGTCTTGTGTTTCTGTACAGCCTGAATTAATTGCTTTGGAGGGGTGCTCTGGGGGTGAGAGTTCTCTGTAGTCCACCAAAATTTTCTCGCAGCCCACCAGTTGGCGACCGCTGCTATATCTGCATTTAAAGGTTCTCTTCCCTGCTGAGGCCAGTAGTGTCCATTAGCCTCAGAGTAAATGCTGTGATTGTGACAAATGATAATGTCCTTCAACTTCAGATCCCTCTACAAGCATGTACAACCATGTTATCTTTCCAAAACATTAATTTTATTTAATGCCATTGAAAATTTTAGGATGATTTTTAAATTTTCTTGATGATCAATTTTGGTTTTGAATGATTTATTTTAAAATAAACTTAAGAGAACATGGTTATTAGGTGGCAAAATTTACACTGATGTTTCAGCTCCTTCTAAAAGAGATCAAACAGGTTGACCTTCTTAGTGGGCATTTATTTGACTGCATATGCTGGGGAAAGGTAAGCCAAGGTATTCTATTGTAACTACAGCCTGGTTTTAAGTTGTTTAGACTTTTGTGTTTGTTCCTATTTAACAGAATAAATAAAGCAGTTAATGGTGTAACTGCTGTTTCAATTTCAAGGGAAAATATGGTTCCGATTTCAATTTTTAGTATGGGTTTGGAAGGATTCCCTAATCTGGTTTGAATGTGACCATGTATAGATTAAAGCTTACTATCACTTTATCTTCTGTTTGTTATCAAATGACAAAGAAGGACTCAGAAGAATGTTTAACATTACTACATTATATATTTATAGCATTCTGAAAACCAAGGAGACACACGACTTATTCCAGGGGTGTCAAACTCGATTTCATTGAGGGACGCATCAGGGTTGTGTTTGACCTTCGGGGGGGAGGACCATGGCCAGAGTGGGCATGGCAGCTTGATGTCACTCATTGAGGGTCTGTTTTCGGGCACAACGGCCTCCTGCAGTGCTTTACCAGTAAAAATGGAGCTCAAGGAGGCCTTTGCTGTTTCCAGGGTGGGCCGCAGGCCACAGTTAAGTACACCACGGGCCACATCTGGCCCGGGGGCCTTGAGTTTGACACCCCAACATATTCTTTGTAAAGCCTCTGTGATATTTGGAATAATTTCATGAGGATAAAACCTGGGTCTATTTTGCTCTCTGTGTCCAAGATGAAGAAACATGGCTTTGTGGACAAACAATGTGTAATGAACTCAGATGTTTCATCCTGATTGGAAGTAATGAGTTATGTTTTTATTTCAGGTTATGTGTATTGATTGAAAGAAGAGCAATAAACACTCTTGCCTATCTTTGTGATGGTGATGCAAGGACTGGGTTAAATGGGCTCCAGATGGCTATCCAGTCAAGATTAACCAACCCCTCCCATCAGAGTAACAGCCATGAATGTTCTGCTAAACAAGTGGTCATCACAGAAGACCACGTGAAGGAAGGACTCCAGCGATCCCACATTTTGTATGACCGAGCTGGTGAGTGGCAAATATAACAGCCCTTATGGCAGTATTGGGAAGTAAATCACATACTTGAGTTAGCTGTACACTCTGTTGAACTGCTTTTGTACAGCATATATTTTCTCTGTCAAGGGAATCGTAACTTGTATTGATTCATGTAGATCAGTGGGGTTCAAATTTTTTTACTACCAGTTCTATGGGCGTGGCTTAGTGGGCATGGCAGGAGAAGGATACTGTAAAATCTCCAGTCAGAGGTGGTATTTGCCGGTTCTCCAAACTACTCAAAATTTCCGCTGCCAGTTCTCCAGAACTGGCCAGAACCTGCTGGATACCACCTCTGATGTATCACTTATCCCTCTTATCACTGGATGATGAACTAAGTGTAGAAACAATACACTATATACATGAGCATTAAAATACAGTAATTATTCAATCCTGAATGTTGTAATGTTCTATGTCACCAATACAATATACTGTAAAACGTTTGATATAATATCCCACAAGAAGCAGCTTGAAACTCGGAAGAAAAAACATGCAGCGGGGTCTTTGCTCCCAGTTACTTTGAAGAATGCAAAGTAATTTTTATCTCTCTTTAAAAGTAATACAGGCATCTTGAAATTAATACACGCCTTGGTAAAACATGCACTTCCATTGCAGTGCCTCTGCTCCTCAGATGCATTGGATGATCGAAGCTTTTGGTCTGTTTCTCAATAGGTGAAGAGCATTATAACTGCATCTCTGCACTTCATAAATCTATGCGTGGCTCTGACGAAAATGCTTCCCTTTACTGGCTGGCCCGAATGCTTGAAGGGGGTGAGGATCCATTGTATGTGGCAAGAAGGTTGGTACGATTTGCAAGTGAGGATATAGGTGAGTAACTGAAGAGAACGTGAGTTTTTATGGGCACTTTTGCCTAGCACCCTTCTAGCCATTCTAGCACTTTTATCTCCAACGCTGCACTCGGCCAACTAACCTTTACTTCAAAAGTGCAAGTAACTGCCATTCTCCTTCTTACAATATAGGGCAATTCGGAAAACCTGCCTCCAGGGCAACTATGAAGAAGCAGGTGACAGTTTTTGAGGATATTTGCTCTAGAATTGGAGTTTGGCCAGAAGTCAATCAGCTCAGTTTTTATGAATTGCAGCTCTAACATATCAGGAGAAGTTCAGAATATTACAGGCAGCATTATAACATTTGGAGTCATCCGACTGTTTAATAGGTATCATTATGAAAAAAGTATTTGGCTTATTGAAACTGGAAATGTGCTTGCCTATGCATCAGCTCATGAATCTACAAACTTACTGAATAGAGGGTATGGCTTCCAAACTATGATGCACTTGTCTAGCACAGGGTTTTAGATGATGAATATGGAGATCTCCAATATCAGAAGTAGTTGACTGATAAGATTCTAATGGGTAACTTGAACATTCTAAGATGAGAGAAATCTTTGCAGCCTGAGTCCCAGTGTTATTTCTTCTAGACTTGGGCTAAAGTCGTCCCTATTTCACTCGTCATCAAACAAGGCCTTTATATAGTGTTTCACATACATGACATATTCTACCGGTAGTTTCATTATGTTGGTAGCCTTTTGACAAGATGTCCATTTCACCATTGAACTCTAGTTGAGGGAGGTGAAAATGAACAAAACCTATCCACCTGTTGTCCTGTTGTTCACTTGGCTTGAAAAGAATAAAACTGGGGTACTCCATTTGAAACCAGAGATTAGTGTGCAACAACTAACCATTGGTTGAAACTCATTTTTTTCTTAGTCACTCTGGTGCCCCTCATATGTACTGATAGCTTTCCATCCAGCTGCCTTCTAGTTTATCCCCAGAAAGTGCTGTATTCCTTGGGCTAAAAAAGTGAGCCTCAAAGGCTTATGAGCCAATTATATAGAAAGATATTGCCTGTTTCCCTAGTGGAATTAGAGACTGAATCATTTGTCCTATAGAGAAACCAGTGTTCATACCTTAATTCTTAGATATGAAGGATACAAAGGAGAATATGTATGAAAGCAAGTTTTAATATGTTACCATTGGCAGTTTTACCAGATAAATATATCCTGTTGATTTATTCATCAAACTTCTAGACTACCTAAAAAAAAAACCACCCAGAAAATAATAACTGTCCAAGGGAGAAACAAACCATCTTGCTATGTCCTCCTCCCTCAGTGTCCAGCCCAACTATCCAAATTCAAGGCCTAGGAGAAAATCTAGTGTTTTAAAGATCACTTTAAGGCAGATGCCATGTGAATCTCTAAAGGAGAGATGGAGCAACTGAAGGCCTGCCTCTTGGGTCTTACTAGTTGACTTTGCTTAATCAGTGAGGCCTGAAGGAAGTCAAGTCTTTTGAAGCACACAGAACAAATAGTCCCTCAAACAGAAAGGCCTTGTGGCAGGTAGGGGTTTACTTGAGTCGACTTGACTTGATGTATCGTATGACTGATTAGAATATAAAATTTCATTATAGGATTGGCAGATCCCTTGGCCTTACCTCAAGCTGTGGCTGCTTATCAAGGTTGCCACTTTATTGGAATGCCGGAGTGTGAGGTAATGTAATTTATAAACAACTAATATCAGAACTTTTAAATGTTCCTCTTTCTTCTACAGGTAGTTCTCAAACTTGCAACCATTCATTTGGCTCAAAGTTACAATGGCACTGAAAAAAGGGACTTAAAACCAGTCCTCACATTTATGTCCATTGCAGCATTCCCACAGTCACGTGAACAAAATTTAGGTGCTTGGTATTTGCAATGGTTACAATGTCCCAGGGCTATGTGATTGCCATTTGCAGTCTTCCCAGCTGACTTCCAGCAAGCAAAGTCAATAGGGGAATGTGATTCATTTAACGACTCCAGTGATTTGATTAACAACCATGGCAAAAATATCATAAAATTGGGCATGGCTGACTTAACATCTATCTTGATTAACAATGGAAATTCTGGTCCCAGTTATGGTTCTAAGTCGAGGACTATCTGTACAGTAATTGTGCTTCCTTATATTGCATATAATTACTAAACTAACTACTAATGTAACCTTGTATGTTTTTCCTAGGAATCTATGCCAATGAGTTCAATTTAGGAGATACAAAACCTAATATTCAGGGAATGGAATGTTCCAGAAAACTCTGGAAACAGTCATTCCTCTGATTCATGGCAATCACGTCATTCCGATGACGCTTTAGTAATTTCAAAAGTTAATTATTCTGAACCAGAAACCATTTGTAGTATTCAAAGACTGGACCAGGTACAGATTTTTACAATCAAGAATAGTATGACTAGAAACAGAATATTCCTAATAATGATGAAATGTTCCATTCCTGGAATGTTAAATTTTGCACATTCAGCATTTACTTTGCTCATAGGCCCTTGCTTCCTGTCATTCTGTCAATTCCACATTTTTCAATGAAATGTTGTAATCATACTCTCTGATGTCAAGTGTTCAGTGCAACATAGAGAAGTAGTTCTTGACTTATGACCCAATCTTGCCCAAAATTTATGTTGTTAAGTGAGGCAGTTATTAAGTGAATTTGGCCCCCATTTTACGACCTTTCTTGCTACAGCTTGAAACCAGGCTCAATAGCAGTAACTGTGAGAGGGATCTTGGTGTCTTAGTGGCCAGTCAGCTAAATATGAGCCAGCAGTGTACAGCAGCAGCCAAAAAAGCTAATACAATCCTAAGTTGCATTAACAGAGGGATACAATCGAGATAAGTGAGGTACTAATACCACTCTATAAAGCCTTAGTAAGACCACACCTAGAGTATGGCATCCAGTTTTGCTCACCGCATTATAAAAAAATGTCGAGACTCTAGAAAAAGTACAGAGAAGAGCAACTAGGATGATTAGGGGACTGGAGGCTAAATCATACGAAGAATGGTTACAGGAATTGGGCATGGCTAGTCTAGTAAAGAGAAGGACCAGGGGAGACATGATAGCAGTGTTCCAATATTTGAGGGGCTGTCGCAGAGAGGAAGGGGTCAAGCTATTTTCTAAAGCACCCGAAGGCCAGACAAGGAATAATGGATGGTAACTGAACAAGGAGAGATTTAACCTGGAAATAAGGAGAAACTTTCTGACAGAACAATTAACCAATGGAACACCTTGCCCTCAGAAGTTGTGGGAGCGCCATCACTTGAGACTTCCAAGATTGGACTCCCATCTGTCAGAAAAGGTCTCCTGCTTGGGCAAGAGATTGGACTAGATGACCTATAAAGTCACTTCCAACTCTGGTTATCTGTTACAGTTGTTAAGTGAATAACTGCAGTTGTTAAGTTAGAAACATGGTTGTTAAATTAAATGAATTGGGCTTCCGCATTGACTTGGCTTGTCAGAAGTTTGCAAAAGGGAATGCCAAGACACCCCCCAGGCATAAATATGAGTCAGTTGCCAAGCATCTGAATTTTGATCACTTGATGCTGCAATGTGTGAAAAGCATTCCAAAGCCATTTTTTTTCAGTGCTGTTGTAACTTGCCATCCGGCCAGCTTACAGAAATGAGTCTGAAGCCCGACACATATTCTGGCATTTCTCCCTGACTTGGCTGTACAGCGCCAATGCGATGCCGACGTTTCTCCCCCAATCAGCTGTGAAGCGGCGACGCTGACATCATCCCTGCTGGCGGTGTATGAGAGAGCGTGACAGAGGTTCCGGAGTCACGGGCGGATCGCTCAGCTGTTTCGCAGGGATGCCGTGGTTGAATGGATTGATTTTCGCTTTTTGTTCACCCCTTCTCCGAATACCGCAAAGGAAGGGGGAAGAATATGACGGGATGTACCTTGATGGGAGGGGAGGGTTCTAAGCAAGTTAGGGGGAATGAGGGTTAGGAGGCAATAGGCGTAATTAATTAGGCACGGGGAGGAGGCGTGAGGGATTAGTTAATGGGCAGATATTAGGCTAATTGGGAGGGGTGGAGAATGGATATAAACAGCGCTGGAAGGCAGTTGCTCTCAATGCTGACTTAGCACGGAGTTCCGTTGTTGTTGCTGATCATGATTGGAAGAACTGAAATAAACCTAAACATCACTCATCTTTATTTGTGAGTAACGTGATTTGTTGTGTAAAGTATCCAGTACTCGACAGAAGCCGACAGTCTACCTGCAGTACATTTCCCTTGCTTCTTTAATTGTCCTTTTCTTTGTTTTGCATAGGTCTTACTGGCGCAGTGTGTGGTCTATTTCGCCAGAGCACCGAAGTCTATTGAAGTGTACAGCGCTTACAGTAATGTGAAAACGTGCCTAAGAGACCACCAAGGACCTCTTCCGCCTGTCCCTTTACATTTGCGGAATGCACCCACCAAGCTCATGAAAAATTTAGGTTATGGTAAAGATTACAAATATAATCCTAGGTACAAGAATCCTGTAGAACAAGAATACCTGCCTGAAGAGTTGAAAGGGATTGATTTTTTCACACGAAGCAAAATTGGATAGAAAACTCTATTGTCCCACGCGATTCATATTAATCCCATAATATTTTTTCTTAAAAGTTCATTTCAGTTTTAAGAAAAATATTTTTCCAGGCTAGCCATATTAAACTGGCAGCCTTAAACTGGGATGCCTACCTTTTTGTATTAAATAATATGTATGTTAATTAAATCATCTTTGATACACATGAAACGATTTTGGGGGCATTTTATTGCTCCAATCCAAGGCAAAAAGCTGCTCAGCAGATATAGATATATGCATTAATGTATAATGTAACATTAAAGTTCTTGAAAGAAACTACACTTTTCTACACTAATTGTGTAAGAGGAAAATATGTGTTGTTTAAGGAGCTGCTCCTTTTCCACTTGAAGTCCAAATAGCTGCACATTCCTGAACCATTTTGTACTACTAAAAATATTTTATTGCAAGTTTTATGCAAAATGTAAGAACTGTTTGATAACCTTGGATAAAATACATACGATATAGGTAAAAGGACAACTAAAATCACTTGATTTAATCAAGGATATAAAGGGCATTATGTCAAAAATTTAAAAATGAAAATTGCCCAGCTTAGCTAATATTAGGCTTTTTCAATGGGACTGATATAAGCACGGATATATATTTAATACAATCCATACAACTTAGAAAGGCCTAATTTTACTTGTGTCTTTGTTTGGAACTGAATTTATGCCAGACTGCAAAGAAATACTGCATTTGCACCTTAAGCTGAAAAAAAAATCCTTATAACTGAAATGTACCTTGAGAAATTTTGAAACTCTGAAAATAAAGTTAATTTAAAAACATTAATGTCTCCATTTTGCAAAAAGACTTCAATTATAATATTGTAAGTAGTCTGTTGTTTGGTATGCAGTCTTATACTGTGTTCATGAGATTTCATTTTGCTAGCCCAGAACTCCACCCGCAGATAGTTGTAAGAGGTTGGGAATGGGCTGGCCAGGGAAGGGAAAGTAGTCATAAAGTCAAGATCATTGGCAGCTTATCTTATAAATGACAGCGCAGGGGAAAGCATGAGGGGGCTTTCTTAAATATTTAAAGCAAGAATTCCTCTAAATCATCCAGGCAACATGAATTAAACTGAATTGTAGAAGTAACAACTCCTTCAAAATGTCACTAGAATGTCTTTATTTCACACCTGCCTTCAATAAAATGAACGCCTGAAGGATGAACAATATGTAGCTCAGATTTACTGAGCAGAGAGAATGTGGACAAAAAATATCAAAAAATTAGTAGATTGAGGTCACTGGTAATTTGTATGTGAACAATTCTGTATTTACTGAATGATAAGAAAAGTTGTAATTCCTCATAAGGTACTAAGACATGCGCCAAATTGTTTTGTCTTTTTAAGAACAAAAAAGTCACGTTCTGGATTTTATATTATCAATTATTTTCCAGGACCAAAGAGTCTGGACCAAAGACACTTGCATTATATTGAATACAAGCCAACTTTATTCCAATAATTCATGTGTTATTCGTTTTACAGATACAATGCACAGCAGCTACCCCTTGCCTGACGGCTTCCAAACACCTCAAACTACAATTCCCAGAATTCCTAGCTAGCTGGAAATTAAAGTGAAATCACACACATCTGAATACCTTAGATTAGAGATGGCTACTTTTCAGAGCAAAGTGCCACATAAAATCTGTTAACAGAAAATCAAGAAAATCAAAGATGGAAAACATCTGGAGCAGGGGGTGTCAAACTCACGGGCCAGATGCAGCATGTGCTGGTCACACCACCCCCAGTCTAGCAAAAGGGGTGGGAGTCGCAATACATCATGTGACAACATGAGTTTGACACCCCTGATCTGAAAAAACCCAATTTGTTCAATTTCCCCCAAGCAGGCTGAGAAACATATATTTTATAGGAGGCTGGAAGTTGGTTTTATGACTTACGATACTCTTTATGGAGAAGCAAATCTACCAAGGAAAAGTATAGTGTTTGTTGGATTATGACGGATAAAAAATACGAAAGGATGGTCAGCAATAAAATTCTCCTCCATGGGCAAAGAAAATGATACAATTGTAGCAGCAGTAGCTGCTGCTGCTTCAGTGCCTTCTTCATTTACTTCTAGAAAGGACTTGTGAACTATTTTAGACACATGGAGATCCTGGGCTCCTGACATTCCAGACAAGTTAGCCTTGTCACTGTCAAACATATCTACTAGCCCCAATGCTGCAAAGTAAGATTTAAGATCATAGTTTTCTTCCAGCTGAAATTTAGGCAGATGAACATAGACGTCCACTTCAGAAATCATATTCTGGTTCCATTCTTGCAGTTTTTCCAAAGTAAGCTGCTGTTCCAGCTAAAATGGCAAAGAAAGGGAAGTAATTATTTGTATCACTGTGGCACAATATTTCCATTTCAGCACAGAAAAATGCCTTGCTGAAAAATAACGTCTCTGACTTCAGTGTAAATGAATTTGCAGAGCCAGGGTCTTTCTCTATGAGAGACAATTAAAAATGGCATTGAACTGATGGTTTCAAACAACCATCTTCAAACAAGATGGTTTCTGCCTCATGCTAAACTATTTGCAATTTTAACTTGTTCAGATGAAAAAACAAAATAATGCAGAGTTTATAGCATAATAAACATTATTAGAAATAAACATAGATTTTTTAGAAAAGTATTTAAAGGCAAAACCATAGTTGTCTTGTCAAAATGTAATATAAAAAGCATTTATTTTATAGATACCTTACTGCTTACAATTTAAGATATTGTTTAAATCTAATTCAGATCTAATCTGTTTTCAACTCTTTCACCTGAGATGGTTAGGGATTCATAGTGGTACAAAATATAGAAAACTCTTAAAGATTTTCTGGAGATCCCCAGCATAAGGCAGCCTCTCTTCAGAATTCCACTGATGTACAGTGAAACCTCGGGTCACAGACGCTTCTGTTCACAACCAAATCAGGTGACGACTAATATTTGGGGAAACTTTTGCTTCTGGTCGTAAACAGATCCTCTGGTACAGATTAAATACAGCTGCGATGATTTCCCCTGCCACGCATGCGCAGTCAGTCTTTCTTCTGTTCATGACCAAATCGGGCTGCGACCAAAGTCCTGGAACGGATTACCGTCATGACCTGGTATGTGGAGCCACTCAACATATCACATAAACCACAACTTTGTTCATAAATATGGGTGATCCTACCAAGTATTGTATTCATGTGATATTTAGAATAATTTTCTTTAGGACTATAATTTTATAGCAACAGCAAGAAAACAACAGAATCAATCACCTGTTCCAGGCCTGTGGAATTATCCTCAATGCCATCAGGCAAAAGGATGATCATGCTAAGATCCTCTCCCTTATATGGCAGTTCCAGCACATGACAGTTGCATTCAGGGATATAACCAAAAGGAAGTTTCTCTTTCATAAACATCATCTTCACATTCTTCTTTTCTGTCTGCATTATTTTAAGAATATTACAGCGAGGAGCTTATCAAACAACAAAGAAATAAAGCTTATGTATGTATGTATGTATGTATGTATGT